GTTCACTCCCATTTCCTCTAGCATCTTGGCATTCTAGTCTCAGCAGCGATCACGGCAGCACGTGGACTTAAGTTGGGGGTGACTAGTTGCTGCTGTTGGTGATGTGCAGGAGGTGGGGAGCGGGAGGGAGGGAGCCTGACCTCGCCTACACTTGCTGTACTTCACTCAGCACCCTCCACAAGCACCCTGAGCGTGAGAAGAGCCCTGCTTCTGCCCCCAGAGCCTGGGGGTTTCTCCAGGAGTCTCCTCCCTCTGCACCCCACCCCCAGTCAGTCCTCTGTTCCCTGCAACAAATAAAGAGAAAGCTGAGCCCTGCTTATAGTTACATCCCAAGCTTATCCTGACGCCGGTTGGTGAGAGCTCCCCTTACCGTGGCCTTTGCCTCACTGTCCCTCCATTGGTCACAGTCCCACTTAGCATGCTTCGTCCAAGTTGTCTCACAAAAACCTCGCGCCCAGGACAGGGGAGGTGTAGGTGAGCAGAAACCCATGTAAGAGACCGAGGGTTGTGACTCAGCCACGGGTTGTGAGTGGGCACCACCTATAACCTTCTCCAAGCTCATGTCCGCACATCCTGGCTCACTGGTCCGTCAGGCTGAACACTGACACACTCCTGCAGAAGCATCCTCGCCCCTCCAGCTGTGCTACCACGTAAACCCGGGGCCTCTGGCCACCCCTACTCACCCTTTGCTTCAGAGACACTGAAGCCGCTTTATAATTAGGAATAATAAAGAGCTGCAGAGACATTTTAGCACAACCCACAAAAGGAGTTGTGTGCATTTCTTGGATCACCGGCATGAAAATAAACAACAACTCCCCTTGCCCCCTGCCGCCGCTTGCTTAGGTCCAACCATTTCACTTTCCAACAGCTGTTTTGAGACATGAAGAACATGCTGACAGGTCAAAGATAAGCTGAATAATTTCCAGGCACGAAGAACACACAAAGGATCCGAAATGTGGACGGGGTGCTCGGAGGTCCCCAGCAGCTGGCACATCACCAGCTCCGTGGCTTTGGGGAAGTTGTGAGAAAGAGGAAGGTGTCTCCTAGGAGCCTGAGCGCTGGAACGTTCTCCAGCCCTGACGCGATTTCTGCTTGTTCACAACCAGCCTGCCAGAGGCAGCTCTCAGCTCGTGAAGGTGGCACGTGAGCTTAGACTCCTCCAGTCCAACACCTTCATTTTGGAAACCGAGGCTCAGAGGAGGAAGAGACGTGGTTTCAACTGTCAGTACCCAGAGGCTTCAGAGCAGCCTGGCAGCAGACGCCCTCCTAGGACGTGCTCCTTGCCCAGACTTCCCTCGCTGCTGACGACCTCGTGCCCCCCTCCTAAAGGAGAAATCTTTCTCTCCGCTGCTGGGTCCGGGTAATTGAAAGGTAATTCGGTGACCCATTGCCAACACCCAGCACTTCTCTCATTACAGCACCCAGCTCCAGCTTGTGATGAAGGAGCTAAGACACAGAAAGGTGGCCTCATCTGCCCCGATGGCATAATGAGCGTGATGAGCCCCATGATGGAAATCAAAGGGCTGTTTCTGACATATTTTTCCTTGCTTCTTTCCTTCCTTCCTTCCTTCCTTCCTTCCTTCCTTCCTTCCTTCCTTACGCACCCCTGCTCAGCCTTCTAACCTCATCTGAAACTTGGTATGAC